ATGCAGTGGGTGTTTGTGGAAGCTGGACCATTTGTATTGAGGGTGCACTTTACTTCACCCACCAGAGTGTCTCCCACTGAATAGGAGACAAATATCCCACTGTGCATTCCAGTCTATGTTACATAAGTTACATTCCAATTTACATCACATAATGAATAGTAGAATGTAATGTGATTTGGAATGGTAGATTGGAATGTGTTTCTCTGGTCTGGGGGACAGGGCAGATAATGCTGCACAGCCAGTCTCCCCACTGCACAGAAGAAGATGCTGTAAGGCTATATTCCTATAACTGGGGGTCGCCTTGAATCCTGTCTTGACAAAAAGAAGCATAAACTTTTTTAAAAAATCCTTTAATATTTTCTTTCCTTTTTGCTGTTACACACCAGCTGCAAAAATTGTGCCTTTAACACAAGCCTCAATGGTTAAAATTGGTCCCCGACAAAAGGAAGCTTGAGTTTGGGAATATTTAATCTGTGACCTTATCACACCGATCTTGTCAGGTCTTGGAAACTAAGCAGAATCAGTATTGGATTGGGGACCACCAAGGAAAACTCTGCAGAGGAAGGCAATGGCAAACCACCTCTGCTTCTGACTTGCCTTGAAAGCCCCTCTCTCGAGTTGCCATAAATTGTTTGCAACTTGATGGCACAGTGACAGATGCAGATCTCCCACAGCTTAGGTGCGAAATTAAGCTGCGGTGGTTCAAGTGGTTAAGACGCTGAACTGCAGGCTGTGGAAGGTCAGTAGTTCAGCAGTTCGAGACCCGAGTTGGCGCATGACGGTGTGAGCTCCCATCTCTAGTTCCAGCTCCTGCCAACCTAGCAGTTCGAAAGCAAGAAATTGCAAGTAGATAAATAGGTACCACTTCGGTGGGAAGGTAACAGCGTTCCGTGCACCTTGGTGTTTAGTCATGCCGGCCACATGACCACGGAAACATCTCCGGACAGCGCTGGCTCTTCGGCTTGGAAACGGAGATGAGCACGGCAACCCTAGAGTCGGACTCGACTGGCTTTCGAGCAAGGGAACCTTTACCTTTATATAGGATATGGTTTTATTGTTATTGTGATAATAATGGTTGGGATTTTACTTACAATTCTAGTAGTTTGAACTCTTTGAAGAAGAACCCTTGAAACGAAGATCAAAATCCGGAGTCTTCGTCAACTACTTGTGAACTTATGTATACTATGTATGGACTTGCACATTTTATGATGCAATCTTGCTTCCTGATATACATGGTCCCTTGTTATTAGTTTTGATTTTGTTACAATATATTTTTCCTTTGCATGACCTTTGTGCACTCCATGGTCTGCGTTATTTATACAGTGCTTGTTTGCAATGTTCCTGCTAAGCTGTGGAGTCTTGTGAGCAAAAATTCTACTTTGTGAGCTACTGGCATTACAGTTGTGAGCACACAATTTGGCTACAGCATCAGTTAGTTTGCGCTGGAGCCATCCTCCCTGAGCGAAAACAAAAATCTTTGAGCTGGAGGCTAAAAAACTGTGAGCTAGCTCACACTAACTCAGCTTAGAGGGAACACTGCTTGTTTGTTTACTGTATACAGGTTAGGGCCACTAATTCATAGGGTCGGCGTATGTCGGAAGTGTCTTGACGGCACGTAGCCCACGCACTCCTAAATTCTAGGCCAGCCCTCTAACCTCTACAGCAAACACCAGCATAATACTGTTCTTCAGAACCAGGGCGTCATAAAAGCATTAGCTCTATTTTGCAAAGCATACGACATGCACACAGCAGGCCACTGGATGAGAACATCCAAGGGAGTTTTCATCCAGATCAGTTTCTACAGCTGCTCTTGTTATTTTAAGATACATGTCTCTCCCCCCCCCCCCCCCCCGCCAGCTAGTTGATAGGTGGGGTGTGTCTCAAACAGGCCTTCTGGAAAAGACAGTTGAGTCATAACTTTGTAACGATCCCAGGGTTGCTCGCATTAGCAAACTAGGAGCAAGGATAAACCTTTGGCCTCATGTCCTTCCTACAGTGGTGTCCCCCAACTTCAGGGAGATGGCGGAAGCCATACCAAAACCCAGTTAACAGCTCTGCAGTGCGTTAATGTTACCAAAAAAGGTGCTTGAAATCAAGAGTGTAGATTCCCCCCCATCTCAGGGAAATTTGTGGCACGATAGAATGCGACTCCGCGTTGCTTTTATCTCGGTATTTAAAAACAAAATGCTGTCTTAAACCATCAGCTGGGCTTACCCATGACTCCTTAAAAGGGAAAGGAAGGGAAAACCGGCAGATGAGTGACCTCCTGTTATTTATTCTCCTGTTTTGCTGGCACATTAAGACTTTGCACAGGCAAGCAGTTACAAGACAGAACTGAGGACAAAGAGAGGGGGGACCAGAGTGACGAAATCAGCGGGAGAACTCACTCTTTGCATGTCAGAAGGCTGATGTTCAATCTAGTTAAAGGATATTGGATATCAAGGCTGGGAAAGACCTCCCCAAGCCTTAGAGAACAGCGGCGATCTTACTTGCGGCGGCAAGACTGACAATCGCATCACTTTGGAAATCTTCTTCTCCCCCAACTCTTCACTTACGGCATACCAAAATATGGGATCAATTCATTCTATACAAACTCACGGACATCACCCAACCAGTGCACACAGCTCCTTTCTCCTCTCCATCGTGTTTCGTTTCCACATGGTCGAGAGTGCTTTATTTCATGGCAGAAAAGGATATTCTCCCCTCAAACTCATCTTATCACTCTTGGATCCACTTCGTAACTTACCTGATTGTTGGGGGCTCTTATACACGACAGAGTTTCTAAAAAAACCCGAAACTATCTCATTCACCATTAGCTGGGCTTCTAAACACTACCTTTGTGTTTGTATATAAAATTTACACCTCGAACTGTTAGCTGTTTTAGTACATGTTTGAGTAAATGAATTATGCTCATAATTATCTTTTTGTATGTATTTGCTGTAGTTATTTCTGAGTGTAATGTCTATGGTTACTCACTGTTACTTCTTAAAGCTACTTAATAATTTTAAAAAATACAGGCAACATTGGATAAGGTGGGATCTGCAAGGAACTGAGCCACCTGCTATGTGTGCAGGAGAGCTGAGTCTATTTTCGCGCTTCTGCATCTAATGAAAGCTCTGCCCTTTGAGAGGATGCACCCACTATAGGGGCAGTACACCTATCTCCTTCTAGGGGGGAGATGTGAGCATTTCTTTCAAGCATGACAGAAAGCATCAGGAAAACAGGAAGAAACCAATTCCATTTCCCGCTTGCAGAAAGGAACTCCCAGCTCCTGCACCTATAATTTTATTTTCTTAACAACCAGCTCTCCTATGTCCTTCTTTGGGGAGTACTGCATACATATTATAGGAAAAATCCTAAAAACAACTGACAAATTAATGGAACACAAAAAACTGCTACATGTATCTGCAGGGGGAAAGTTACAAGTGAAAGAAACAAATAAACGTGGGATCATTTGTAGCCATGATCCGATACAGACTTATTGAGATCAGTTTCCTTGGATGTGCTCAACTCTTTGCTGGACTGCAGTTCTTAAAAGTACGAAGGACTAGGCTCCCTCTGTTCAGAGGGTGAAAAGATAAATCCCGCATTTTCCCACAACTGATCTCTTTGAAAATAACCCAATACTTATAAAAAGACAGGAAAAAGCCGTACTAATTGCCAATGTTTAATACTTGACAGAGGAAAAAGTGCAAATTCACAACAGATTAAACCATTACAGGAAACACACACTGCAGCATTAACTGACCAGGGCAAAAATGGCCAATTAAGTCCCACCTGACAATAACCCACCCCATTTCAACCTGTCTGCTGCCTTTGAAATCACCTACTCTACCAATCTGTGGTCTATAAAAGGTTGCTGTTCTCACACAGAATTCTAATAAATTTCCTCTGCACTGCACTTACCCAGAAAACCTACTACATTCAAGACCATGTCCCCCAATCCAGCTAATAGTTAGTTGTGACTCAAGTCCCAATAAAAGAAATAGAACAAGTTAGCTGCAACTCCTATTATGACTAAACTGGATTGGGACCTGCATGATTATAAAGTGTATTAAGTGCACTTGGAAGAAACCCTCTGCTTTAAATGGAATTTACTTCCAATGTGTGCCTAAAATTGCAGCATTAGAGAGAGAAAAGTGCTCCTCCTCCTGAGCTACGCTCCCTCAAGAGTATAAATATAGAATAAAACCATTCCACACTCTATATAATTCATCTTCCATAAATGAAAATAATTTGACTCATTTCTTCCTGTGCATCGCTCAGGACAGTATTAACCTTTCTAGCTTCAAGCGGTTTAGAACACAATTGTTAGACTGAACGCACATTATCACATACACTAATATAGAATTTTTAATCTATGTGTGGCCTCTTAGACCATAGTCAGTTGTACTGTTTCTAGATATAAAAAAATAAAATAAGCACCAGCTCATGCTGATAGGGTTATATGAAAACATACTTTGTTACAGGAGTAAAAAAACAAACAAACTCTATAGTGAAATCGGCCTAAAATTAGACACTTACATCCACAACAGCGTGTCTGGCTTTAAACATCCAAGTGAAAAACTCACCACCTGTGTCCCATTAAGGCTCTTGCTGGGAAGGACTACAGCTCAGTAGCAGAGAACATGGACTGCACGCACAGGGGTCCCGGGTTCAATTCCTGACATCTCTAGTTAAGGGATCTCAGATAGCAGAATGGGAAGTCTTGACCTAAGACCTTGGAGAGCCAACCAAAGCAGAGAACAGTGGAGTGGACAAACCAATGGTCTTTGTTTTTTTCATTAGTACCCTACTTTTCTCCACAATGGGGACCCAAAGTGTTGTATGTTCGCCTCTCCTTCATTTTATCATCAGAACCCTATGAGGTAGGTTAGACACTCGTGTGTGTGTGTGTGTGTGTGTGTGTGTGAAAAAAAAGTGTGTGTGTGTGTGTGTGTGTGTGTGGGGGAAGAAGAGAGAGAGAGAGAGAGAGAGAGAGAGAGAGAGAGATCCAGCAAGCTTCCATGGCAGTAGGGATGCAAACCTGGGGCTTCCAGATTCTAGTTTGACACTCTAACCATTATGGCACACTGGTAAGGCACTTTCAGATGGTCATATGCATGGCCTGCTTCCTCGGCACGTCAAACGCATCTCTATTTCCCGAGAACTCTTAGATGTATCTGAAATGGGGCGGAATACTCATGGAAGACAAACCAACCAGCCATGATAGCTCTGAATGCTAGACTCTGGAGACCAAGAAGGAAGAATGGCCCTGTTGCTCTGAATGTATTCCAGAGGATTCCTGGAAATCGAGACTGAACTATACAGAACCTCGGTCTGGCTCAATAGAGCTCTCCTTAAGTTTATACCCCAAACTGCAATCTTGTGTTTGGATTTTTCTTTTCTCCCCCACTGCCACAAATGATAAAAGCAAGCTTACATTTTGTAAACGCATCTCAATACTTACTGCAAATCAGTGTGGTTAGAAATACAAATAAAATAATCCACACTCCCAAAGTGCACCTTGTCTAATTGCTTGTATTTGCTGGCCAGCGCCCCCTTAGGTTTAATTGCGTGTACTAAAAAAAAAATACTCTGACACCCCTTACTGAAACTGCATGCCTTGTGGGAGCTGGATGTGAAATGCTCTTACATGTGATTCATGGTGGACCTGCTAAATGGTGCTATACCACAGCCTCATGGCAGTGATTGGAAAACTGTGCAGAAACACTGCTTGGTGAGATACACTTCGAAGTGTCCTGCTCCCATGACTTCAGCAGCAACGTGACATCCAAATTTACCAGATGGCAGAAATGGAGATGAGTAGGTCAGGCTTCTCCGCTGATGCTAATTTTCCCCCCTTCAGGCTGTGGCTAAGAATGCAACAGCAATGCTAGTATAAAGGTGGTGACCCTATATCCTAATCAAAGTGGTATTATTATTATAACTACAATATGTTCACTACCATCTCCATACTGGTGAAGAAGCTACAAAATGAGTGCACGCATGTTAGAAATAAGGTGCCCCCCCCCCAGTTAAAAGGATCAGGTTGTAAAAAAGGTAATGTGAAAAAACCCTCTACCCGAGACCCTGGAGAGCCCCAAACAGAACAAACCACGCTTCCAGGACAAGGCTGCTTTTCATGTATGATTTGTTATCATATGAAGTTATCCCTAAGTGGAGTGTTCACCTGTTCCCTCTGAAAACCAATCAGCCAGTCTGCACAGTTTGAGCTGTTAACTCCTAACTCTTTCATTCCAAATCTATCCCAATGGACTTAAAAATGGATTAGTGTGGAATGAATGGATTTTGAACCATGACTCTAGTGTCATCCCTGGTTTCTTCAACTTGCTATTTTAAACCGGAAATGCAACTGAATTTTTTTTTTAAAGGTGTAGTTAAATGCAATCTGAGAAACGGGAGCAACTTTTTTTTAAGGACAGGTTTTCAGACTCTGCGTTAGCCAAAGATAATCGATGCCATAGCTCGAAAAGCAAGCATTTGAGGGACCCTGCAAAAATATATTAGTACACTGTTGTGTAACAAAATATATTCCAAACCTTTCAGCATTAATTGATACATTAGGAAGGAGTCCCATTTTTAAAAATTCAGCTATATAATCAAGCACCCTAAGTAAACATTTCATAAAAATCTTATTTTTAGAACCAAGGTCCATCCTCCTCCTCCTCCTCCTCTTTTTCATTTTCATTCAGATAGAGAAGAGCAATTTTCTTCTCATCAGAAACCACGGATCTGTGGTCTACCATTCTCTGCAGCTGAACAGTTTGATCGAATGCAGACTTCTCTGATCTTTGCTCACTTTCGGCGTCGCTCTCACTCCCTTTAGCTGTGTCCTCTGCTGGATGGGCGCCTTTGGCATCCTGTAACAGAATTTTCGCTCCTTGCCCACCTCCTGCTACATTAGTGATATCCATCTGAAAAGTAAGGGATGTTTCCTGAGGTCTTATCTTTATGTGGCCAAGAGAGTGGCTTTCTGGTGGCCCATCTGTTGGAGAAAGCGCCACAACACCAACCTTTGGCGTTTTATCAGAAATAGGGCCTTGGAATACGATCTGTTCTGTGTGAGTTTCAGCAGGGCCCAGTCTGATGTGTCTGACCGAGCGACTGATCTCGCTGGGCCCTTCCATTTCTAAAGCATCTTCCCCAGCAGAACTGATACCAGAAGATTCAGAAACAGACCCTTGGTACGAAACATGTTCGCTGCCCCAAACTTCCTTCTGCCCCAATGTAACGTGCCTTACCGACCCTTCAGAAGAGAATGTTTGTCCAGATTCACTGAACTCCAAGTGTTGTTCAGAAATGGGCCCTCTGAAAACAATTTGCTCCATTGTCAACGATTCCTTGGGCGCTAACTTAATGTGTCTGACGGTTGTATTAGTACCCAGTGCTCCTCCTTTGAAAAGCCAGTCTGGACCATGACTCGGTTCAGTCATCTTCGGAGAAGATACTTCATGGATGGCTTGGTCAGTGACGGGGGGTTCTTTCTGTACAACCTTAATGTGCCTCACCATTTCATCAGCTGAAATACTGTTGCCAGCACTGGTGTGCTCCACAACTCCAGAAAAAGGACCTTCATAAACAACTTGCTGAGTACGTGCCTCTTTTGGATCTATTCGGATGTGCCTGATTGATCTGCTGGTTTCTGCTGTCCCGCTATTATCATCTGGTGACAAGTCAGAAGCTGGCTTCTCAAAAATGATTTCTTCAACAATTTGCTTTGAACCCAACATGATGTGCTTACTGGACCTGCTATCAGTAGAAAACTGTGCCCGAGTAGGGCTTTCAGGACCAATCGATTCCACTGTCCCACGAACAGGCCATCTGTACGTTATTTCTTCTGTTGTCTGAATTTCTTCAGGACCATGTGTGAATCCTTGCACGGATTGGCTGACGCTTGCTGTTGCTCCTGCCTCAAAGCCACCTGTACCAAACTCCAGAGTTTCTGAAACGGGACCTTCACGCAGGACTTGCTCAGTTCTGCGAATTTCTGTTGGGCCGACTACAATTTGCCGTACAGATCTGTTGATATCGAACGACCCTTGCATGCAGGAGAGATCGCTATTGTCGTCAAGTCCCGAACTTTTGAAAACCGGGCCCTCGCTAACCATTTGTTCACTAGCACGGTATTTCATGCCATCGCTGCTGCTTAATTTAGTCGAGCTAGAAACTGCTTCAGTAGTCCATGGTGTGGAAGAAGCTTCTATTATTCCAGCTTTACTTCTACCATCACTGTAGCTTTCTGACTCCTGCTTTCTGCGTTCATCAAAGTTATATGTAGCTGAGACCCGTGTTGGTGACTCTCTCTCGACAGCGATGCCTTCACCGAGATACCCTGTGTTAAACTGGTCAGAGTCTAGCGTCTCGGACAGACTGACTTCTGCAACTATGGTAACCAAGCCCCCTTTCTTGGTCTGCTCCACTTTTTTAATATCGACTTCCAAACTGCTCGAATCAGCTTGGCCCTCTTTGGTTAGCACTGAGAGCTCATGTTTGACACTTTCTGGGAGGCTGTCTTCAAGCGTTTCCAACGCTTCTTTCAGCTGGTGCTTAGGGTCTTTTGACCCCTCAGAAAACAGACTCTTTATCGATGCCTGAAACTCGTGTGGTATTTTAATCTCTCTCTCAATAACAACGGATTCGACGTGTGCTACCTGCTCAGCTTGTGGCTCATCCTTTGAAGCAAAGGCATTTCCTTCTTCCCCCATCACTTGGTAAGCACGTTCTGGCGAGCCCATGCCTTCATTTACCCTTTTCTGAGCTCCCTGAAGAAATTCATCTTGCCACGAATACTTAATAGTGGATTCCTCTTCGATATGGATTTGCCCATATAAGGAGCTGTCGTCTTTCTCATGAGTCAAGGGGTGTTCTTCTGGAGTCGAGACAAAATATTTCTCTTCGTCCACAACATCATCCCCCTCATAGACTTCTTCTACATGAGACACAACCACACTGGGCCGCTGGTGTTTCAGATCCTCAGCAGCACTTGTGGAAGCCTTCCCTTCACCCCCATAATACAGATGTTCTGCCGTATAGGGCCACGTATCTTCTGCTTCTTCCACTTCAAAGGGTGTCGGGAGTTCTGCTCTTTCGTCAGCAGCGGATTCTAGTGGCTCCTCAACGATCTCGACTTTAACGGTCCTTTTCCCTTGACCCTCCCTTCCTGTCAAGCTAGCATTGACGATATCTTCTAATACAGCTTCAGATAGAGCACCCTTGGCATCTCCCGCCCCTTCAGCATCTTTATTTAAGAAACGTCCCAGATCAAACTCATCCGAACTGTTCAGGTCTTGTTGAACTGCAGTCCGTACGGTGACCTCGGTCCTCGCTTTCCCATCCTCAGCCGCTTTCTTTTCAGAGAAAGTGAATTTGGTATCAGCGGGAAGCCCCGAATCAGAAGATTTCTGCACAAAACCTTTAAGAATGTCAGAAACAATGTTTTCTGCTATGCTTTCTGTCAGTGCGGTATCCATTTTAGGGCTTCTTTCTTCATGTATTCTGTCTTGGTTCGACTCCCTCTCTGGAATATTTTTTAAGAACTCAGATATGGCTTCATCTTTTGGTTTACCTATCGCAGGTTTCAGGTCTTGTAATTTTATTTCTGTACTGTCGTTTTTAAACAGCCGGCCTTGGTTGTGCCCTTCAGAAAAGATAGGTATCTCAACAGCATCGCTGCTTTGTGTTGTCACATTTCTGTCCTGTTGGAACAAGCTACTTTTATCCATCATGATACTGGATGGCAAATCTTTTCCTGATGTATCGATCCTAATGCGTTCTTCCCATTTTACATATTTTCCATTCTTGGGAGTTTCATCTTCTGCAACTCTGGCTTCCTTTAAGCTATCACTGATGCTCGATTCTTTCCTTGTGTGTTTTCCCTCCTCTGTCCCGTGCTTAATTTCCACCTTCTTTTGAAAGTTAACCGTTGTTTCAACTCCAGTGAGTTTCTTTTCCATCTTTGCCCGGACAGAATCAGTTGCCTCCCTGCCTGATCTTTCCTGTTCATCTCTTTCTTGTAACCAAGAAGGCTTCTCTTCTTTCGTTGGCTTAACTTCCCTGATTTGTTTATTCGGTTGAGCATCAGTTCCTTCTTGGATTCCCTCATGTTTGGTTTCTTTAGAAATGGAGTGTAGACTGTGAGATGTAGTAGAGACCCCCACTCCTCTGGGCCTCACGTCCTCAAAAGTACTGGGGACTGCTGTGTCTTTTTTGACGTCTGCTGATTTTTTTGAAAAAGATGCTGTGATCACAGTGTCCGCTTTCTTTGTTTCAGGCAAGGTTCTTCGCCAAACTTCACTCTCTCTGCTCATAACAGAAGAAGGAGTAAAAGTTCGGATCTGCCTCCGGTCTGTCATAGCTCTCCGATGAGTTGCCTCCTTTCTAATAGCTGCCGAAGGACGAGATCCCAACCAGACGGCATCTTTCCTGAACGTTTTCCCAGGAGCAGCTGTCTGAATTCTGCCCGGTTTTGTTTGAGATGAATAAACTGCAGAGCTGCTCATGTTTGCGATCGGGGTTTTATATCTTGTGTCAACATTTCGGATTGCCGGGAAAGCTCTCTTTCCTTTCTCTTGTCGATAAGCTGCGTAGCGGTTGCTATATTCGTGAAGCATGTTTCGGACACCTGCCAGTAGATAAAAGCAAATGAAAATCACATCTCTTAACACAGTGTACTTAAGTAACATACTAACTCAATAAAACACAGTCAATTTAGTTGGGTCGTTGAACTAAATCTATTATTGTATAATGAACAGGTTGCTGTGCTGCAGCCAAGCACTTCAGTTCCTGCATATCTCCACGAAATACGGGCGACGAACATGGACAACTGTCTAATCTCGAGAGTGTTTTGTCTTGTTATGCTTCAGAGCAAGACCCGGGACTGTCAGACCACCAAAATTGGTGGGATTTGCACCTGCGGAGCAATGAGCCGAAGATGTATGCCTGTGCACGCAAGATGATGCAAGGGTTATGACAAATGCTCCATTCATAATTATTAGCAGCAATTTACAAGGAAGCCCTGCTATCACCCGCTAAGTCTAAACTTGCATTTCCTCCTCCTTTTTACAGTGCAGCTGTGAAATCCATTAGGCGAGACCAAGGCTGCGTACTTGCTAAATAAACAAATTAAGCTCACTGGCCGAGCATGATGATGCCATGGCCCTTTAGCTTGGAGAAACAACGACTGAGGGGTGACATGATCGAGGTTTATAAGATTATGCATGGGATAGAGCAGGTAGAGAAAGAGGTACTTTTCTCCCTTTCTCACAATACAAGAACTCGTGGGCACTCCATGAAACTGCTGAGCGGTCGGGTTAGAACGGATAAGAGGAAGTACTTCTTCACCCAAAGAGTGATTCACACTTGGAATTCACTGCCACAGGAAGTGGTGGCAGCTATAAGCATGGACAGCTTCAAAAGGGAATTAGATAGGCATATGGAGCAGAGGTCCATCAGTGGCTATTAGCCACAAGGTATAGACAGGGCCTCTGGGGCAAGTGATGCTCTGCCTTCTTGGTGCTTGGGGGGGGTCAACAGTGGGAGGGCTCCTAGTGTCCTGGCCCCACTGGTGGACCTCCTGATGGCACCTGGTATTTCTGGCCACTGTGAGACACAGAGTGTTGGACTGGATGGGCCTTTGGCCTGATCCAACATTGGCGTCTCTTATGTTCTTATGACTGCAGAGCTCTAGAGGAGCAAGACCATCTACCCCTGAACCTGAGTAGTACCGTGCCAGGAGGAGGGTATTTTTACTTCTCCTTCCTTGTGCTGTATGGGAGGGCCTGGGACAAAACTGGCACTGGAGATGTGATCGCAGCCTAAGACAGCAATCCGCTCAAAATCTTGGTAACGGACAGTGTTCTCAAGGTGACCCTGTAGGGTTTTCAGGGCAAGAAACGGACAGAGGTGGTTTGCTGCGGCCTGCCTCTGGCACAACGGCTCTAGGTTTCCTTGGTGAACTCCCAGCCAAGTACTAACCAGGGCTGACTGTACTTATTTTATTTATTTATTTATCTTTGGGATTTATATCCCGCCCCATCCAATATACAGCTCGGGGCGGCTAACAAACGGCCATGCCGAAGTTAAAATATGCATACAAACAACAGCATAATAAAAACACTATATCTCAACATAAAAATTTGGTGCTTTGATAATTTACATAAAATCCAAGATGGGCGGCGTCCCACACTGGCGGCCAAGTTCTTCACAGCAGGAGCGCCAGGAGGAATGTTTCCCCAGCTCTATTGGGCGACATCTATCCCCACTATGTGGGGTAGATGGTTGGAATATCATTGGTGGAATAGTAGTGGCGGCGGCGGCTCCCCCTCAAAGGCCTGGTGGAAGAGCTCCGTCTTGCAGGCCCTGCGGAACTGCACTAGGTCTCGCAGGGCCCGGATCTCCTCCGGGAGCTCATTCCACCAGGTGGGAGCCGCCACCGAGAACGCCCTAGCCCTGGTTTGGGTCAACTTCACTTCCCAGGGGCCTGGAACCTCCAGGCGATGGAGATTCCCCGATCGCAGTGCTCTTGGGGGAATGTACGGGGAGAGGCCGGTCCCTCAGGTAGGCTGGACCCTGGCCATTCAGGGCTTTAAAGGTAAGCACCAGCACTTTGAAGCGAATCCGGTATGCTATAGGCAGCCAGTGCAGTGCATGCAGCACCGGCCGGATGTGGTCTCGCCTGGAGAGACCCATCAACAGCCTCGCTGCAGCATTCTGCACTAGCTGCAGCTTCCGGATTTGCGACAAAGGCAGCCCCAAGTAGAGAGCGTTAGCTTATGAGATCTGACAAGATCAGGCTAGCTTGGACTATCCAGGTCAAGGCAAGAGACGAACAGAGGTGGTTTGCCATTATCTGCCTCTGCATGGCAACCCTGAAATTCCTTGGTGGTCTCCTAGCCGAGTATTAACCAGGAATGACTCTACTTAGCTTCTGAGAGCTGATGGGATCGGGCTAGCCTGGGCCATCCAGTTCAGGGCGCTCAGAATCTTAAAGTTCCCTTGCTTGAAAGCCCGTCGAATCTGACTCTAGGGTTGCGGTGCTCATCTCCGTTTCTAAGCCGAAGAGCCAGCGCTGTCCGAAGACGTTTCCGTGGTCATGTGGCCGGCATGACTAAACACCAAGGCACACGGAACGCTGTGACCTTCCCACCGAAGTGGTCCCTATTTATCTACTTGCAATTTCTTGCTTTCGAACTGCTAGAATCTTACTCAGGTCTATTCAACAAGCTTACTTCCAGGCAGAGGTCATTTTGGGGGGGAACGCGGGGGAACGCAGTCCCCCCGGGTGAGGTGCAGGGGGCGGGGCACATGACGAAGCCCCGCCCCCTTCTTCCGGCCGCCCCGCTTCCGGCCCTCATTCAGCCAGGAGGAGGCAGGAGAAGAGGGAGGGTAAGTTGCTTCCTCCCCGCCTCTCCCCACCCCTGCCTGCCTGGGGCCAGGGAGGGCCTTGGCGGGGCTTCCTTGCACTCCCGCCGGCCTTGCAGGTCCACCGCCGGGCCCCTGATGTCAGGGGGTGTGGCATATGCTAATGAGCTATGCTAATGAGTTCCCCTAGCTCTTTTTCTACGAAACGACCCCTGCTTCCAGGGAAGTGTCCTCAGGGTGGCACTGTAGCAGCCCTGACCTGGATAGTCCAAGCAATCCCGATCTTATCAGATCCCGGAAGCTAAGCAGGGCTGACCGTAGCAAGTACTTGGAAGGGCGACCTCCAAAGAATACCAGGGCCAGGACGAAGAGGCAGGTATTATCAACGCCACGTCTCTGAAACATCCTAGCCCCACTAGGGGTTGCCAGAAGTCACCCTGACTTCCAGGCTCGTAAGCACACACTCTCACACACACTACAAGTCCACAATAGCCCTTTTACGTTGTTATGTTTTTTGTGGTTCTACCATGCATACTAAGGAGCTGCGGTGGCTCAAGTGGTTAAGACACTGAACTGCAGGGCTGTGGAAGGTCGGTAGTTCAGCAGTTCGAGACCCGGGTGCCGCATGCCGGAGTGAGCTCCCGTCTCTAGTTCCAGCTCCTGCCAACCTAGCAGTTCGAAAGCAAGACATTGCAAGTAGATAAATAGGGACCACTTCGGTGGGAAGGTAACAGCGTTCTGTGCGCCTTGGTGTTTAGTCATGCCGGCCACGTGACCATGGAAACGTCTTCGGACAGCGCTGGCTCTTCGGCTTTGAAACGGAGATGAGCACCAAAAGCCTAGAGTCGGACTCGACTGGCTTTCGAGCAAGGGAACCTTTACCTTTTTACCATGCATACTAGTAAGTATACTAGCAGAGGTCACTAAGCATGATACTCCTGATCAGTGTTCCCTCTAAGCTGAGTTCGTGTGAGCTAGCTCACAGTTTCTTAGCCTCCGGCTCACACATTTTTGTCTTAGCTCAGGAAGGAGGGCTCCAGAGCAAACTTAATTGATGCAGCAGCCAAATCGCTCGCTCACAGCTGTAATGGCAGCAGCTCACAAAGTAGGATTTTGGCTCACCAGACTCCACAGCTTACAGCTCCTGATGCACTTATTTGCCATTTTGTATGCATGAACACACAAAGCTGTCTTATACTGAACCAGACCATTGGTTCACCAAAGTCAGCACTGTCTACTCAGACTGCCAGGGGCTCTCCAGGGTCTCAGGCTGAGGTCTTTCACATCACCGACTGCCTGGTCCTTATAAATGGAAACGCTAGAGATTAAACCTGCAACCTTCTGCATGCAAAACAGATACTCAGCCACTGAGCCATGACCCTTCCCCAGTGTGTGAATAGGGGCAACATACATAGTTTCCAGCTACGTGCAAATGTACCTTTAAAAATGTGGGTTTCTGTTTGTCTGTACCAAAGCTGGGACGTACAAGTGTTGCCCTGTTCTGACAAAATTGTGCCTGCACAGAACCATGTACAATATTATCTTCCATTACATGAGGCTGGTTCACCAGAACTGTAATGCCTGAACAGGGCTAAGGTGTGCTTAGGGAGGTTGTGAGCAGTGTTCCCTCTAAGCTGAGTTAGTGTGAGCTAGCTCACAGTTCTTTAGCCTCCGGCTCACACATTTTTGTCTTAGCTCAGGAAGGGTGGCTCCAGAGCAGACTAATTTATGCAGTAGCTCACTCACAACTTTAATGCCAGTAACTCACAAAGTGTGATTTTTGCTCACAAGACTCCACAGTTTAGAGGGAGCATTGGTTGTGAGTAATTAAAATCAGAGGAAATTCTCTCCCTCCGGTCCTAATGAATTCCCCCCAACCCCAGCCAGGACTCACTTAGCTTCAACATGGTCTGAGTCCTTAAAAAACTTATAGTCCTCCTGACTCTCATCTCTTTTCCCTCTGAATACTGTAATTTGGTAGGGGTCTCAGAAAGACCAATCCCCTCCTCCCTTTTTGTTGTTGTTGTTGTCCAGTTGCACAGTCGTGTCCGACTCTTCACGACCCCATGGACCACATAATGCCAGGCCTTCCGGTCTTCCGCCGTCCTCTGAAGTTGGCTCAACTTCATGTTCATTGCATCTGTGACACTGTCTAACCATCTCATCCTTTGCTGTCCCCGTCTTCTTTGACCTTCAATCTTTCCCAGCATCAGGGTCTTCTCCAGTGAGTGCTCCCTTCTCATTGGGTGGCCAAAGTATTTGCGCTTCAGTTTCATTATCTGGTCTTCCAGGGAACAGTCAGGGTTGATGACTTTTAGGATGGACTGATTTGATCTTCTTGCCAGGGCGGGGACCCTCCCTTTTTACTGATGGTCAACTGCCCCCCTGGAGAGCAACGCACACAATGTGTCTCCATTGCACCACAGAGAAGAGGGGGACAGAGAAGAGGGGACGCCATCTTCTCTTTTTAAAAAATTACGAAGTTGTCTTTTTAAGAACTTACACAGAAATATTTTTCTGCATAGGTGGGGGTCAACAGCAGGGAGCTGAACCTCGCAGCTAATATCACACAGTACAGCTATCCTGTACTTTGATTCCTGGCTCGAAAGACATCTGGCTGTCCTCAACCAGAGCCAGGGCGTTTTCGGCCCTGGTGCCGGCCCGGTGGAACTCTCTGCCAAATGACATCTGTGCCCTGCAGGACCTCGTGCAGTTCCACAGGGCCTGTACAACAGAGATGTTCTGCCGGGCCTATGGTTGAGGGCGGCAATGGCCTCTACCAAGCCTGGCCTCTTCCTTCTCTCCTCCTCCCCATAGGATAAGGACACAATATGGTCCTTTTAAGCTCAGAAATAGTCACAGAATGGCCTATTGTTTTAATTAGTTTAAATTCTGTTTTGTAAATGTGCTTTCCTGAAATGTTGTTCACTGCCCTGAGCCCTATGTACAGGGGAGGGCGGTCTACGAATCAAATCAAATCAAATCAAATCAATAAATACTTTGGAATCTCACTAGACACACAACCTGGCGTCATTTTCAGAGGACAGCATAGCCAGGGTTGAGAACAGGAGCACCTGAGTCACTGACATTAAGACGAAATAATCTGCAACGTATTTTTTGCACTGATGGGATTTAAGCAAATGCTTGTAATGTATCAATATTTTTTGAAACCGGATCCTCAGACTCAACTGGTGGAGCCGCAACATCAAAGCGCAGCAAACAGAAAGTGCAGATCTGGAGACCAGGCTTTGAGGACTCATACCAGGCTTAGCCAATCCAGAGGCTTCACGATGTCTTCTGATCAGAAGGGCTGAAGCTGTGGCTCAGTGGAAGAGCCTCTGCTTTGCATGCAGAAGGTCCCAGGTTCAATCCCCGGCCATCTCCAATTAAAAGGACCAGGTAGTAGATAATGTGAAAGACCAGGCAGCAGGTGATGGGAAAGACCTCAGCCTGAGACCCTGGAGAGCTACGGCCAGTCCGAGTAGATAATACTGACTCTGATGGACTGAAGGTCTGATTCAGTGTTCATGTGTGTTCATGTGAAACAGCTATTCCTCTCTACCTCTTCAGGGCTCTAACATAAATCACCCTAGGTAAGTGCCGGGTACATTCCACTGGAACACTCCTCTTGAGGAAATATCACTACCCTGACCGTCTTCCAGTAGCGGTGCTGGAAAGTGCGGTCATGTCGCAGCCAGTGTTCCCCCTAAGCTGAGTTGGTCCGAGCTAGCTCACAGTTTTTCAGCCTCCAGCTCACAGATTTTTGTCTTAGCTCAGGAAGGGGATGGCTCCAGAGCAGACTAATTTATGCAGGAGCCAAATCGCTCGCTCACAGCTTTAATGCTAGTAGCTCACAAAGTAGAATTTCTGCTCACAAGACTCCACAGCTTAGAGGGAACACTGCAGCCGGCTTAGGGTGACCCTGTAGGGTTTTTAAGGCAAGAGTCGTTCAGAGGCGGTTTGCCCTTGCCCGCCTCTGCTCTTCCTGGGGAACTGTGCATCGTTTTGCAAAAGCTGACCCTGCTGTCCTCAGCTGAGTTAACACAGTTCTAAGTACACTGAAGGCCAGGGGGTTTAGAAGGGCGTAACTCTGTCTAGGATGGCATTGTGAGAATCCTCCCCTTTAGGCCCTCAGTTGGGATGCAGTTTAGGAAGCTGCTGTGTGAGAAACAACCCCCTCCACACAAATGCAAAAACTTGATTGCAATCTTCTGGCTCCCAAATGTTAAAGAGTTGATAAGGACTTCAGAAAAGCCTTGCTGGGTCAGGCCAAAGCCCTTTTAAGTAGAGACCCCCTGACTACAAAGGACTTAGAAGGGAGTGCCTGTTCTAGATGACACTGATAGCCCAGCGTCCGGTTGTTTCCAAAAAAACAGGATATGAAAGCAGTAACCTTCCCCTCTCATTTATCCCCCAGCAATGGGTTTTCAGAAGGGATGCTGCCTCTGAACGTTGAGGCTCCATTTATCCCACGTGGCTAACAGCGACTGCTATAGCTACCTTTCAAGCAGCCAAGGGCTTGTCTCGTGGTAAAGAATTTGGTGAAGCAAACTGTGCACTGTGTAAAGAAATCCACAGTTTTTCTCTCCTGAATCTACTGCCAGTTAACGTCCTTGGGTAAGCCCGGGTTCTCCTGTTCTGGGAAAGGGAGGAAAAAATATCTCCACGCCCACTTTTTCTATATCATGCTCAGTGTTACAAACCCAAAGACTAAGCCAGGCGTGGCCAAACTGCAGCTCTCTCACACAGTCTGATTTTAATGTTATTAAAAGGCAAATTTGCATATTTTTCAAAAAAAACCTTGTGTGTAATATTTGTTCATGTTCTGTGGCTCTCAAACATCTGACATTTATTCTGTGTGGCTGTTATGTTAAGCAAGGTTGGCCACCCCTGGACTAAGCCAAACTGCCGTTGGAGACTTAGATATGTCTCCTGACCCTTAAAAAAACCCCACGTCGTCACAAAAGTTAACAATCCATACCTTGGGGCACTTCCCTTCCGTGTTCTTCTTCCCACATAAGAATCCACTGGCTGCTCTCGCCTTCTAACAAAGCTCTGTGAAGCAAAAAAAATAAATAAAATAATTTTTTTGAGGGGGGTGGATTTTTCACACAGAGGTGCTATCTAACATTCCGGATCTCCTGGGGTTAACAGGTGAGACAGAGCATTTTTAAAATTAATACGGAATAACAGATGTTGCATTTCTACGGCTGCTGGAAGAAGACTGAACTTCCATCATGTACTGTATCTTTCCCACTCAATCCCCCTTCGGTTCCATGATGGAAAAAAGTCTGATAATGAATTAAACAAAAAGAAATCCTTCCTCCAAGCAGGGGGGGAAAGTGGGATTCCGAGGTATCCATATTCAGGACCATGTGGGAATCTTTATAAACTCAAACATACTGGAATCACACCCACCCCCTTTACAAAAGCAGTGGAACAGACTGCCTCGGGAGGTGATGGATGCTCCTTCGCTGGACGTTTTCAAGTGGAGGCTGGACGACCATCTTTCGGGTATGTTGTAGGGCTATCTTTTGGCTATGCTCCTGCATTCAGCAGGGGGTTGGACTAGATGACCTGCAAGGTCCCTTCCAACTCTAACAGTCTATGATTCTATGAAAAGCAAAACTGAATATACTTTTATTATTATCATCATCTATTATCAGGCTGCTCCTAGTGGATTGTCATTGTTCTCTCGATTGCTGATGCACTTCAGAATCACTCTCCGCGCAGCGGGAAACAGTCTCTCACTCTGGGACAGGGAATCAGAAAAGCATTCTTTCACAGTAAGTCAATAAATGTGCCCAAAAGTGATTGGGCGAACGCTCTGGGGAGAGACTCTCTCCCATGCTGAAAGAACAACTGCTACCAATGTGGAAGTTCCCCAATTTCATTTCGAGTTCCTTACAAGCAATGAGTCCATTAAGACAGACATCATCTAAATTAATTCCAGGAGTCGTCTGACTACTCACATTCTCCTCCCACTGTTAACTTGTTTTTTTAAAGAAAATGAAACAAAAGTCTCATGGGCACCCTAAAGACTAACAGCATTTATTTCAACAGGAGCTTTCAGGGTTGCCAGCTCTCAGGAAATTCCTGGATATATTCCAGAATATAATGCCACAAACTCCACCCTCCAAAGTAGCCATTTTGTCCAGGGAAACTGATTTCTGTCATACGAAGATCTGTTGTAATTCTGGGAGATTGCCAGGAGGTCGGCAACCCGACACGTCGGATAGCTGAAGAAGTGAGCCGTGGCTCGTGAAAATTCAAATGGAAATAAATGCTGTTAGTCTTTTAGGTGGCACGGGACTTTATACTTTGCTTCAGCAGACTAACACGGCTACCCCTTTGCGTGAAAAGGACCAGGGCTATTTTGGGGCAGGAACGCACAGGAACGGCGTTCCAGCTGGCTTCAGAGTTGGCCACGGCCACTACAGCCAAAACCTCTGCGTGCCTGGCTACAGAGGGAAGGCCTGGAGAGTGACACACACACCCCCCCCGGTGACCAATGTTCCCTCTAAGGTATGGAGTCCTGTGAGAAAAAATTCTACTTTGTGAGCTACTGGCATTAAAGTTGTGAGCAGGTGATTTGGCTACTGCATAAATTAGTTTGCTCTGGAGCAATGCTCCCTCTAAGCTGTAAAGTCTTATGAGCAAAAATCCTACTTTGTGAGCTACCGGCATTAAAGTTGTGAGCGAGCGGTTTGGCTGCTGCAAGAATGTGTTTGCTCGGGAGCCCTCCTTCCTGAGCGAAGACAAAAATGTGTGAGCCGGAGGCTAAAATACTGTGAGCTGGCTGACACTGACTCAGCTTAGAGGGAACCCTGCTCTGGAGCCATCCTTCCTGAGTTAAGACAAAAATGTGTGAGCCGAAGGCTAAAAAACTGTGAGCTGGCTCACACTAACTCAGCTTAGAGGGAACCCTGCTGGTGACTCCAAGGTGGGCAGGCCAGGGGGGCCTCTGCTCCTGGGGCGCTCAGGCAAGCCAAGGGAAGGCATGGGGTGTGGCCTAATATGCTAATGAGCTACACTGTCAGGGTGTGGCCTAGTATGCTAATGAGTTTCTGCTGTTGGGTGTGGCCTATTATGCTAATGAGTTCCTGCGGGGCTTTTTCTACCAAAAAAGCCCTGAAAAGGACCTAAGTGTTCCATCAATGCTACAGAACCATTGGTTCACCTACCGGCCGCGTTTACATATTCAGATGGAAGGCTACTATTTTTCCTTCTTCCCAGAAAGCTAAAATGTGCCTCTAGATACCATCTCCACCCAGTGGATTTAAGCCTGCCAGGCGTTCTACATACAAGGTAGACAGGAGCCTCAAATTAATATCTTTGAGCCGTAAGAGCCTCAAATATCTTTTAAAAAAATAAAATCCATCCAGATGGGATATTCTGGGAAAACTCAAAAGCGTGCACACTTTGTCTTGGGGGGAGGGGGGGTGTCCCAATAAAAGTGCACTACACGGCTTTTGATTTTGGTACATGAAGCCGCTACATTACTAATACTCGGTCAAAACAACACTGTGAACGCCTCTGTCCCAAATGTTTTGAACTGATAACTTGTCAGAAGCAAAGCTGGACGAGCCCGATGATGTTTTGAAACTCCAAGATAAGCAATTCTTTTTTCATTTTCTTTTTTAAAAAAGCAAGCTACGACAGAGCTAATTCTATACTGAAGTGCAGGCAAGACGCAACTCACTTGTGGTGACCCCAGCAAAGGGCTTTTCCAGGCAAGTGAGAAGCAGGGGTGGTTTTGCCATGGCCTTCTTCTGCAGAATCTCCCTTGGTGGTCTCCCATCCAAGTACCGACCCTGCTCAGCTTCTCCGACCGGGCTCTACCGTGCTGCCTTCCCTCCCACCGTTAATTAGGATGACATTTAAAACTGTTGGGAGTTTAGCCCCCAACTAACACTGGAGGGTATCGGCACACTGAAAACTACACTGGATTTGCATGTCCATCACGAGCTCCAGATGATCTCCAAAAACATGAGAACTGGACAGTTGTTGTTGTTCAGTCGCACAGTCAAGTCCGACTCTTCACGGCCCCATGGACCAGATCCCGCCAGGCCTTCCTGTCTTCCGCCGTCCTCTGAAGTTGGCTCAATTTCATGTTCGTTGCATCTATGACACTGTCTAACCATCTCATCCTTTGCCGTCCCCGTCTTCTTTGACCTTCAACCTTTCCCAGCATCAGGGTCTTCTCCAGTGAGTGCTCCCTTCTCATTGGGTGGCCAAAGTATTTGAGCTTCAGTTTCATTATCTGGCCTTCCAGGGAACAGTCAGGGTTGATTTCTTTTAGGATTGACTGATTTGATCTTCTTGCAGTCCAAGGGACTCTCAAGTCTTCTCCAGCACCATAGTTCAAAAGAATCTATTCTTTGGCACTGGGCCTTCCTTATAGTCCAACTCTCGCAGCCATACATGACTGCTGGGAATACCATTGCTTTGACCATGTGGACTTTTGTTGGCAGGGTGAACTGGACAGTAGTTAGCTTCAAACAGAACCTAAGGGCTGCTCTGTGAAATGACCACTCTAATGAAGAAACTTCTATATCTCTGCCTCGCTTAGAAACCCACAGAAGGAAACACAGCTCCTACGAATAGCAGCCAGGAGGATGGAAAGGCACTCATGAGCGTGTAACACATGATGTTTTCCTCGGGCACACCCCTCTGTCGTAGGGCTACTTAACGGGATGTCACATTGCTTTGACCATGTGGACTTTTGTTGGCAGGGTGAACTGGACAGTAGTTAACTTCAAACAGAACCGAAGGACTGCTTTGTGAAATGACCACTCTATTGAAGAAACTTCTATATCTCTGCCTAGCTTAGAAACCTACAGAAGGAAACACAGCTCCTATGAATAGCAGCCAGGAGGATGGAAAGGCACTCATGAGCGTGTAACACATGATGTTTTCCCCGGGCACATCCCTCTGTCGTAGGGCTACTTAACGGGATGTCATTTATCTCCATGCCACGAAAAGCTTTAACTGCCCATTTCCAGTAAGCCTTTGTTAAAGTTACGGAATATTTTCTTCCAAGTTACAGGCAACCCTCCTGTGCTGGGTCACAGACAGGTGTTAGGAGGACCTAGGGCCGGCCCTAGCTTATTTTGCACCCTAGGCGAGGATCCCTTCTGGCGCCCCCCTCCCCGTGCACCCACCAATTTTCAAAAATAAATGCATTTTAGGAAGAATGAAAAACACAAATAATCAAGAAACTCCCAGACTACGGGGCCGGGTGCAGTTTGGCAGCCCTAAGGGCCGGCCCACTCTAGGCGGTCGCCTAGTATCGCCTAGTGAGTGGGCCGGCCCTGGGAGGACCCCTGTGCTTCTTAAGAGAACGGGGCCCCAGTTTGGACCCAGGATGACAGGAAAGAAGGGCCTACAGGGGATGTTCCCCTGGGGAAGCTGACATGTAGCCAAGCAAGATTCAAGTACGGTGGGCAGCCATGTTTGTCTACAGGAGAAGAGCAAAAGTTGAGCCCAGTAGCGTCTTGCAGACCAACAACATTTCTAGGGTGTAAGCTTTTGAGAGTCAGAGCTCCCTTGGTCAGAGAAGCAGGGGTTAGACGGCCATCTGAAAGCAATGCTGATTCTGTGAATTTAGGCAGATCACGAGAGGGAGGGTAGGGAGGGCTGCATCAGTGTTCTCGTGGACCGTTCTTACATGTCCAGGGAAATGCTGATTGCCCTTTATCTCAATTATACCCTGAGTTTCCTCGCCGTGGGGACCCAACACGGCTAACCTTCTTTATTTTACCCTCATAAACAGCCCTGTAAGGTAGGATAAGTTGAAAGTATACGTCTGGCCCCAGGCCACCCAGTGAACTTCCATGGCTGAGTGGGGATTCACACCTGGGTCTCCTAGATCCTAGTCCAAGACTCTAATCACTATACCACACCGGCTCTATCCGGCCCAAGGAAGAGTTCCAAGCATCTCAAAGCCAGCTTGCTATTTTGTGACTTTCTGTAAAGCCTACTGTTTGTGTTCTCTTTTTCTTTGCCAGCAAGCTCTACACGGCTACCTGCTGTTTTTGTCTACTTGTAATCTC